AAAAAAAAAAAAAAAAAAAAAAGAAACAAAGCTTTAGAATACGTAACTGTTTTTTTGTACAATTATCTACTTTAACAAGCACCTATCCAAACCTACAGCACATGTGCACATTAACTGCATCCTCACGTTCATATCAGGTCTTTCTCACTAGTTCAATTACCTTGTCTGCATCCACTTTTCCTTTGATAAATTCCTTCTTCCAAAACTCCAGTGCCTGTTCTAGAGTCAAACCAATGCCTTTTAAGAAAAGTCCATATTGCATACGGCCTCCATGACGGAGGTGATGGTTCTCACGTAGGGCTTTGTGCAACTGGCGCATGCAAAGAGGGAATGATTTCACAGAAAGCTGTCAAGAGAACAAAAAGACAGCGGTCATTTAATTGGTAGGGTGTAAGTTTATTGGGATCACTTCAAAATGTGAATGGCTAGAAGGAATAATATGCATGTACATGGTATCCTTTAGACATCAATAATTTATCGGGGTTCTGTTGTATTAACATCTTCAAGCATCTACAAGCAAGACTAACATTCATTGCAGCTGATCTGCAGGTTCTTTATCTGAAGAAAATTATTTCTTATGAAACAAGATTCCCAACAGAAAAAACAACGCAACACTTAAGTTTACTTGGGCCTTGCATCTTTATTTTTGGATATCTGAGTCATGTCATGGAATTCAAAACTAAAAGGAATGTTGTTGTGTTTAAGGTAGATACTAAAACCTATTTCTACAGTTCAGATAAAAGACTTGCAAAATGTTTAAGTTGAAAAATAATTAAATAAGAAAATTTTATTAAAATCTGCTTATAGTGGTTGCTTTAGGTGCTTATGAAAATACACAGAACTAAGCAACAAATTAGGCAACTCATTATAGCTTCAATTTAAATCCTGATTAGATACATTTTCAGTTAATTCTGTTCATTTTAAAATCACTATTTCAATCAAGTAGCTCTCAATAGTTACAAAACAAATACTGAATAAAAAATGAAAAGATTGTCTGCATATAAGGCATCTGGCTTTAAATCAGAATTCATCAACATATTATAGAATTCAATGAACTGAGAGGACTTACAGCATCGATGTGCTCTAGAGCAATTTTTCCAGTGTTTTTTTGTACGCTGTAATCTGGGCCAACGTAAGAATGGCTGAAAAACAAAGCAAGCAATACAACATCATTTAAAATTACCTCCATTCAATTTTTTTCCTTTTTTAATATTTACAAATTTGGGAAGAAATTATTTTATCAATTAAGGGCTAGAAATATTTTACAGCAGACAAAACCAAGAAAGAAATAGTTAACAAGTCATGTAATTTAGGTTTCAAGAGCCAGCATGAAGAAATCCTCCTTTCCTATATCCTAAAGGAATGCTGCATTGTCATCCAGAATTGAGATTACAGAATCACACTATTGTTGAGGCTGAAAGAGACTTCTGAAGATCAGCTAGTCCAATCCCCCTGCTTAAAACAGAATTAACTAAGCAGGCTGCACAGCATTTTATCCTGTTGGGTTTTTTGCACCTCCAAGGGGGACTCTACAACCTCCTGGGCAACTTGATCCAGTGTTCAAATTGCATTAAAACATGTTTACTTATATTTAAATAGAATTGCTTGGATTTCAATTTGTGTCCTCCGCTTCCTGATTTATCACTGGATATCACTGAGAAATGTCTGGCTTTATCTTCTTTACACCCCTTATACAGTACTTCTTTATTTGTCAGTAGGACACACATACACCTAAATCTCTACTCTATGTTAAACAATCCCAGCTCTCAGCCTTTCCTTCTAAGACAGGATTGGGCCCAGCACTCCAAATGGGCCTTCAACAGAAGTGAACAAAGAGGAAGAATCCTCCCTTGACCTGCAGCCAGTGCTCTTCCTAATAACACGCAAGAGACAGCTGATTTTCCTTGCTTCAGGGGTATACTGGTGGCTCTCAGTTTGCTGTCTACCATGACCCCAAGATCTCCTCCTGCAAGTCTGTTTTACAGCTGTCACCCCTAGACTCTACTTGTACGCAGGGTTGCTCCTACCCAGATGCAGTGCCTGGCATTTCCCTCTGTTAACTTCATGGACTTCTGTCAGCACATCTGTTCAGCCAGTCCAAGTTGCTCTGATTAAGTCTGCACAACCCCTGGTGAGGCAAACTCCTCTCAGTTTTGCATCTGCCATTTTTTAAGTGTGCACTCCATCCCATCATTTAATTTATTAAAAGAGACACCGAACCATACAGGATCCAACACTGACCCTTGAGGCACTCCTCTAACAGCAGGCCTCTAAACTGGTCTTCAACACTCTGAGCGAAGCACACTTCAGACCACCTCACTGTCCATATATATATATATAGCCCATGTTTCATCAGTTTACCAAGGAAACTGTTACTTCAGAGAGAGTCAGAAGTCCTGCTAAAATCCAGATAAACATCCACTGATCTCCTCCATCAACTGAGCTATTCATTCCACCTGACAAGACAATAAGGTTGGTGAAGCATAATTTCACCTTCTGAAATCTGTGTCGTGATCTCCTTCTTGCTTTTCATAGGTCTGAAACCAAGATGAGAATGACCAGCCTACACTTTCCTAAATCCTTATCCTTACCCTTCTTAAATGTGGGGTACTTCTGTTTTCTTCTAGCAAGAACTTCTTGTACCTTGCTACTCTTCTACATGTGCAGCATTTAAGAAAAAAAAAAAAAAAAAGCCATTACTTACGTATCACTATGAACATCTGCTGGGATGGAAGAGGAAAAACTGAACACCTTCTTCTTCAGAGTATCAACAAAAAAGCGGAGGAGGATTTACTGCAGTACTGACATAAAAACTCCAGACAGTAGCTGTCTAGCCAAAATAGCATAGGGTTCAACACACGCAGCCTCATCTCTCACCGATACTGTAGCAAAGCTACTTCTGACAACTAAGCTTAGCTCAGGCAATGCTATAGTATATCACAGCAAACATACAAGCACCATCAATTAAGTCATTTCAAATCAAATACAAGCACGAGGTGCCTGGGTTTTGCTTTTAAATATACAGCTTTCTTGGTTGAGGATATGCAGTACTACAGAACAGTCCAAGAGAAATTCTTACAGCAGAACCCTACAGAAATTAGGAGCTGACAGTGCAGCAGGCAAAGCAAGCACAAAGATACATCTAGTTTAAGGGATCAAAAATCATTTTTAACCTAGTAAGCTGTAAAGCCTGGATAAGAACAAATTTCTTTGTGCCAAAGGGATTTTGCAAGTGACGTACAGAGATCATTTATCAAATCTTCTGGACAAATAGAGAGATAAACATCAGGAAAAAAAAAGAAGAATTTAACAAAAACGATGATACTGGGTGCCACTGACTATTCTGTGACATTTCAACACTGTACCGTCATACAGCTACAAGTTGATTTTACCGTGGTGCGAATCACTTGTTTTATTATACATGCTACTCATTGGTCATTTTGGCTTATTTCTGGGACCAAGCACAGCACCAGTTCGTTTTCATTTACACAACAATGCATAGCTGAGACAGAGAACTCAAGTGGTGGGTGGGTAGAATAAATGATACTTTCCAGACTCTGAAAAGCTTAAATATCCTCAGCACAGTAGGCAAAGAGGGAATGTTTCAAGTGTGCTTCCCAGCTTTTACATTAAAAAGTAGTACATGACCATGGCAAGGTCATGTGTCGTACTCTACTTGTACACGGTGTTGTTCCTACCCAGTCGCAGTGCCTGCCATTCTCCTCTGTTGAACTTCATGGAACTTCTGTCAGCATATTGGTTCAGCCTGTCCAAGTTGCTTCATTCCTGACACCACAGAGCTGAACTCTACACACTGCATTCAAAGGTGAACAAAACTGAAACAACACCTTCATCCATGCAGAGTACGTGGTACATTGGAGCTGGGCATAACAAAGCCAGAACTGGTTACATGTTTGTAGGATTCCATTGGACAGAAACTTTTGGATTTGCAGTTTTATGCATCATGCCTTTCATTTTCAACAGTAGAAATTCTGTAGATCCCTTGATCACAATGAAACAACACTTTATTGCCTTTCCAATTGCCATTATTTTCTCTACTTTTCTACTGAAAATCTCAACAACCTTGAGGGAAAAAAAAAAGACAATCCTTTCTTCTATAAATAACAGCACTTATTTCTTTACACCGTTACACATTGCCAAATAGCCTCCCACTACTGATTTGGAAATGCTTCACAACACAAGTCAGGCTTCTGATCACGCTCACTCTTTTCAGCTTCCAGTTTTAGCTCTTCTTTTGGACTTAGCCCCCCCCCCCCCCTTTTTTTTTAATTTATTCCACACAGCTTCTGTGGTTACTCCCTGATATTGATAGTTCCTCACTCAATTAAAAATCCATATAGCTCTTCACAATTTCTTTTTGTCTGCTTGCATTCTAACAAGCCACAATGCCTTCATTTTTTCACTCTAAAATAATTTTGTTTTCCCTCCATACAGAAATTCCTGCATCTCTCCATTCAGCATGCTTCAATCACTCAAGAAATGTCCACAATCCAAAAATCACAGATACTAAAATAATTCCAAGCCTATCTTACAACTAAAGATTAACTGCACGTTCAAATAACAGTTCTAAAATCTCATTAGTCTTACAATTCCTTAGTAAACATCATAGCACCGTGTCAATATTGTTTTTTCAGTCATCAGATGTAAAGCTTTTAGATGTAATCTATTTTTAGAGTTTCTTTCAAAAGTACACCCACATCACTCAGATGAAAGACCGGCATTCCTTTCTACAAAAGATGTATAAAAAGCAGTATTTAAGAATAAAAATGTGCCTGTTTCAATGTATGCTGCTAGGCAGACTGAAATAAAAATAAAGGAACAAAATGCTAAGTCCAGCATAGGAACAGAGTACTGTCATTTGAACACAAAGGGGTCAAAAAGTGGCAACAGTCAGCAACTACAAGAACAAAAGCACTTCTGTCTGTGCTTATGCATTTTTTTTCATGCAAGTTTACGTTCTTGCAAAAACACAATTCTAAAGACACCATACACACATTTTCCACAGGAAAACAATTAGAGATATGTATTTTCTTAAGCATTTCTAGCTGGCAATAAGTATTAAATTTTGTAAAGATTTACGAATTGGGTCACATTCAACAGAATTGTCAGAACTGTAGTAATGCTGGTTTGAACAAACAATGCTAGGAAACAGTTAAGCCATTAATGCAATACTGAATGCAAAATAAATTTTAAGAACATAAAAGGAAGAAAAGCTTAGAATTTTTTACTTTACACAGGTTGCTGTAAACAGATCATATCTGTATGATGTAATCTATTATTTCAGTGTCTGCTCTTACAAATTCAAGTAATGAGGAAAAAATCGAAGTGATTCATAATTCAGGATTAATATCCAAAATGCCTAAACCAATAACAGACACAAAGCCAAAACATTCTAAAAGATAAAGTGGCTTATTTAAGCTGAGCAAGCTTGGAAGAATATAAACAGACAACAAATAAAATTTTCCTGTAACACACAATCCTATTTCCTATATTGTTACATGCCAAACAATTATTTGCTTACATGTCATGATCCAGGGGAGAAACAGAACACTGTAGTTACTGTCTTTCATTTAGACCAAGTTAAGTTGTTCTAAAATAGTCTACACATCTGATTACATGTGAACGGGTTAAAATTTAAAAGCTGGATTACACACTAAACTGAGACAGAAAGTGACAAAAATAAACATGGGCTACTTATCATAAGCATTCAATTTACTTGGAGTTAAATTCTCAATGACTGCTCATACATACACATGCATTATTGTTTACCACCAAGAAGAAATCACCGTACCCACATTTCCAGGAGTAGGATGTGTCTTTCAAAAAAGATCTGTTAAAACATTCTGACAAATAAAGCATTTAGCATACCAGGAGATTTAGTAGGGATATGAAGGACATTTTGATGATGTTGAGGATAGGAAATGACAAGTCTATGGTGGTGTTCCTTCTTTACAGTATGAGTGCGAGAGGGTAAACGTATCTGCACAAGAACTGTGCAGATTCATTTAAAAAAAAAAAATCTAGACTTGCAAAACAATTGTTTTCAGCACCAACCTTGGGAACTATCATTTGATAACAGAACAAACAAAATTATGCAAATGCTGTTTGTGAAAGATGCTGAAAGACCATTTAGTTCCACATTCAACTTAAAGTGGCACTACGATCAACTGTAATCAGGTCAGCCCTGGATTTTTTCTAGCTTGTTCCTAATGATTTCCAAGAACAAAAGATTGCCCATCTCTGGGTTACATGCTGCACAATAACCCTAGCAGAGATATTTTTGCTAATATCTCATCTGAAACTCCAAAGCTGCTACATGTAACCACTGTCATTTGTTATATCCTCTGGCACCATTAAGAATTCTGACCTGTGAGTACCCAGGTCTCACATAAAATATACATTTAGTCTAAACTAGTCCAACCATAGAAATGCCCATTTTAAAAGAAAACAAGCAGAAATTCAAGTGTCTATGCTGACATAATCCATAATGAAATCAGCTTTGAGGACTAGCTAATTTAAAAGTCCCACACGGTCATGAATAGCAGCCAACAAATGTACACAGCATTAATAACCAAACAATGCTCTGCAAGTATCAATTGTGTTTTCTTTTCTATCTGAGCCTCAGATAAAGCTCTATGACATATGCAAGAAATAAAATGTTGCAGTAAGAATTCATGCACCAAAGGAAAAGGAAAGCCTAAACTAATAGTCTCCTTTTTCCTATGAGTAAGATGAAGCAAAAATGAATCATTGATTCATGAAAATAAGTAACAGAAAAGACCTATTTAGTCATTTGTCTGTTCACTGCTAGAGCCTGTTTTTCAAGAAGGATTTTATGTATTCCACCTATTTTTAATGGATTTGCCAAAAGACAATGATTTTTGCACAATTTTTTCAACTGGGGACTGTACTGGGAACAGCTCCTTCACTGTCACAACTGTAAAATAAAAGCAGCTCACTGGTTGCTTAATAAAAAAAACCCAAATTAACATCAGTATGCAAAAAAACGCCATTTTGCATAAACATCAGATTACCTGTTAGTTTAAGTAGACAGTGTAAAACTCGATGTTATTAATGCAGACTTTCCTTTACCAAAGTTATTTAAAAAAATGTGCAATGTTCTATGATTGTGTGATACTGAAGATTGTTCCACATATGGGAGATTTCAGATTTCTCAGCAATGCCTCCTGGAGAGCATAATTCAGAAAAAGCTGACCTAATTGCTCTTCAGAGTCAAATGGAAAAAGGTATGCCACAGAGCACATTTGGAAAGTCCCACTAAGATGTATGGCAATAAAAACATGAAAGGTTATTAGCAATCAGAAGCAGCCCCTGAATAGTAAAGTAACAGTTACGCCGCACTTTTTCAATTCACTGCTCTGTAACACACATCAATAAACAATTTCTCTTATTCTGATTTACATAAGAACATCTTTATGTATTATTAATAAAAATGATGAAAAAAATAAAATGCTGCAGGTTTTTTTTATTTGGCTTGGATTTTTTTTTTTTATTTTTTTTTTTTTTAGGTACAGATATCACAAACAGCAGAGCACCACAGGAAATGAACTGCATGCTGACTAGATCTGCATCCTAAATCAGGTACAGCGCTGTCATGATGGAGCCTCACTGTTTCTATTTCTAATTCATTTAGCATCATTTCAGTAAAGTTAATGCTGTATAACTTTAAAAACAGGGCTCTTGTTAAAGACATTCAATATTTAAGTAAATTTATACTCTTAAAGAGAACAAAAATTCAACAATTCAAACTGATATGTACCTGAACCACTCAATCTAACTGGACCTGTTTTGAGCAGGGCCTAGAAGTTCATTTCCAGAAGTTCATTCAAGGCTGAATATTTCATTAGCCCTAAACCAGTGCACCTCCCTCTGTTTGCATGGTTTAGTCTTACTGTATATTATTAAGAGAATTCTCCAAACAACATAAAGTAGAGGGGAAAAAATAATCATATATGGATGAAAAACTTATGCCTAACTTGAAGACTATCAAAAAGTATTCTTACTCTTCAACCTCAGATACATTCCAAGAAACTAGAATATCTCTATATTCTTCCAGCTTGTCTTTTTTTTTTTTTTTTTTTTTCCAATCAAAGCAAATCACAGAGCTAAAGGTATCTGAAAAAAAATTCTACCCCCAAGTGCATTTTGTTTACACTACCTGAGATGATTAAGCAGTGGTTGTAGTCTCTCATCAGACTGTATGGAAGGCAGTGATCGTGCTGTCAGCTAGAAGACAAGAGAAGTGCAGTGAATGATATACAAGCTTCCAGAAATACATGTAGCACAAAGTCAGAATGATGCAATAAAGTCTTTCTGTGTTGCTAACACTAAACAGCATTGGCTAAGGCATATTTTTTCCTATTAAAAATAATTAAGTCCAGCCTTACACAATCTGAAGTCAGCAGAAATATTTATAAATTAAGAAAGTTAAACAGTGAAAAACAGTTTTACTACAATGACATTATCTGCAATAAACACTAAAATATCATTGAAAGTTGCATATTTTTTTCTAAACATATTTGGACTGAAGTCACATGCAACCTACACAACCTTTTGGCTCTGTAATATATAATGCAACACAGCATATGTAATATATGTAATACATAATGTAATGCAGTCCATTAAGCCTTAATAAACACAATTTACACCTGTGCATAAAAATTTAAATGACGTTTATCTCTATATAACTTTTACATAGACATGTCTCTCCATAAACAGCAACAGCAGTGTATGCAAATAACCTGTATTTTGTAATTGGACTATTTTAAACCAAATATGAACCCCTCTTCTTGTAGCAAATGACTAATTAAAGCATTGAAACATGTCACGCTATTGAGAACTATTAGTTAATTATGTATTAAACAACATACATTTGCTTAATACTATATATATATATATATATATATATATATATATATATCTGCCTTTCCTATAAAATTTACAAGCATAACAGCTCAGACATTGCTGACATTAATCTAATATAAAATATTTAATGTAGCATCCATTTCATTATCCTAGTGCTGTCAAATTAGGCTGTATTTTGAAAACTACCTTCAGACAAACGTAAACTAAAATGGCAACAAATCTTACTTTATATACATCACCATCAAGTTCTTGAATATTTTTACAGGTAACTTAAATATGTTTAATGTTACACATACATTTTTTTAGATCTTTAAAACCAAAACTTTTAGGACCAGCGATGCAGACTCTCTTGGCTGGCTCCAAGACACCAGAAAAGCAAAGCTCTGCAGTGGAGATCCAAAATGCAGGTATACAATATTGGTATATAATAACCCAAACATGATCCAAAGACAGCAACAAAGGGAACTCTGAAGTGCCAGCAATCCATCGATATTAAAACAGGCCAGAAACTTGGCAATTCACAGAATCATAGAATCCTTAGTGTTGGAAGGGACCTTTAAAGGTTATCTAGCCCAACTCCACTGCAATGCACAGTCCTTGAAAGTCCCCATGGAGGGCATCAACCACACCACTGGGCAACTTGTTCCAGTGCATCACCACCCTCACTAGAAAAGACTTTTCTTTACATACAATCTAAATCTACCCTTTTTGAGTGTGAAGCCATTTCTCCTTGTTCTGTCACCACAGGCCCTGCTAAAGAGTCTGTCCCCTTCTTTCCTGTAACTCCCCTTTGGATACTGAAAGGCTGCCATCAGGCCACCTCACAGCCTTCTCTTCTCCAGGCTGAACAGCCCCAGCCCTCTCAGCCAGTCCTCACAGGAGAGGCATTCCACCATTTGGATCATTTTTGTGGCCCTTCTCTAGACACATTCCATCAGGTCCATGTCTCTCCTGTGCTGAGGACTCCACATCTGGATGCAGTACTTCAGGTGAAGGCTCACCAGCACAGAGCAGAGGGGCAGGATCACCTCTCTCAGCCTGCTGGCCACACTTCTTTTGACACAGCTCAGGATATGCTTGGCTTTCTAGGCTGCAAGAGCACATTGCTGGCTCATGTCCAGCTTCCCACACATCAGTAATGCAAAGGTATATATTGAAGCACCAGCCACATCACCTTTGTATTATCAAGGTAGGTTGATACAGCATAGCACAAATTCAATGCGTTTATTTTAAATCAAAACTCATTTTCTTATCACTGAGTGCTACAGGCTCATGAAGTGCTAAGTAATAACCAACTACTTATTCTATACTCATAACCTACATAAAGCAACAATCCACTTTGTTTGAAACACACCCAGCCAGGAATTATTTCTGACTGGAGTTTGGAAGCCCTCTAAACATTGTCAAGCTACTTTGCTTGGCTAAAAACACAACAGTCTGAATTACCTGAAATGCCATCTGCTTCTCTTGCTGTTAATATTTGACTCATATACATACCTGACAGAACAGCATTTGTGTACACTTGCTCACATACAGACTTTCACATGAGATAAGGGTATAGTATTTTTCTCTACCCAGCATCCTACATAGCACCAGGAGAATAAGTTTTCTTCACGTCTGAATCTATTGGTATGGCTCAGTTACTAGGTCCATTTTTTATTGTTTTTAGAAAATGAATTCTAAATGTTACATTTGCTCAGAACAAAAAAAATTATTCTTCTTCCTGTTGCAAACACCACATTTATGACAAGGCAACATTTATGAAAATCAAAAAATACTGATACTACTGCCAAAGCTCTCTGTATGTAATAAACTAAGTTGTATATAACATTAACTGAACAGAAATACTGTTTCACAAATAACCTGGGAGACTTGTAGGAACTGAGAACCACAAACTGGTTATCTCTGTGTTTAGCCAAGTTTTACTTTGATAGTACAGTGAAAGAATACAGAAATAGTTTATGTTGCCTAGTTCAGGGATCACTGCAAAGGGAAAAATAAAACATAATCACTTCAAATCACAGGAGAATCCAGTATTATTCCTCCACTTTTTCTTTCTTTCTTGTTGTTTTTTGTTTCGCCTACAACCACATGTTTTATCAGCAAAATGAATCCCTGTTTGTGACTCTTCTGTGTCACCTGGAATGGCAAGATAAATATTTCTATATAAAACACTCCCATGAAAATGGGATCATCTATCTTTCCACAACACAGACTTCGTTACGTTCATTCAAGTAATTATTTTCAAGAAGAAGAGGGATCCTCACAACACAATTCATTTCCATTTAAAATGGGACACCTCCTCAACACAGCTATTTACTCCACAGTCACCAAAAGCCCTTTTTGGTTTTCCAGGTTCTGTTTACAACAGGAAGGTGCCTCCACTGCTCTCCCAATACCACTACACATTTTTTCCTAACAGAGGCATTCAAGAGCTACTTCAAAGTCAGGCACTACAAAATCATAAAGAATATGAAAATAGGGAATAGGGGTATGACGAAGTAAGAAGATATGCTGACCATTACACCCTTAGCTAGAATGCTACACATGCCATCAGTACAAATCTTCAACAGAAAAGGGGAGAAAAAATCCTCAGGATACTCAAGATATCCAGTTTTAATTATTTATTCTAGTAGATAAAAAGATGTTCATCAATCATGCATGAAAAACACAGAAGAAATGAGAAACCACTTGAAGACTGCTGTATCGTATCAGGCAAAGCCGATTTGTTCAGCTGAAACTTAGAAGAGATTAATAGTGCTAAACACTGTAATCACTCTTATCTTAACTTCTTTACAGGAGAGAAAGAAGTTTTCCTGAATGTTATTGAAAACTTGCTACAAACTTATAAATAAATAAAGCTTGCCTGACACGAAACTTGAAGTTAAGCAGCAGCTCTACACGCTGCCAGGATGTCATTTATATACATGGCAATTAAGAACAAGATTACTGTGACTCAATTTCCTTGTCTCCATTTTTTACGAGTGTGAATTTTTTTTGACTTTGAGGTTACAGTATGAGAACTATTTGCTCTCAAGAGATTTTCTATGCAAAAAAAAGATAAAAGATTTTTATTGTCACAAAGAGTTTGCTTTCTGGACAAGGTGTCCTAATTAGCTGTACTGCACAAGAGAACTTTAACGCTGTCAACACTTAATGAATACATTTTTTAAAAGTCATATCAAGTCGGATGTTATTTTGCAAAATTACATGGAAGGTTACAAGGAAGCACAGAAAAAAGGACTTAGACAAAAGTTACTTTTTGCTGAGAGAACCTACTGAATTACTCTAGGCTCCTCCTACATCTAACCAGAAAAATCAAGGTCTGTTTGGAGGATGCATTAGAGAATCTACAACGTACATTATTACCTAGAGTATCTCCTTATCAGCTGGTAAGTGCTTCCAGAACCCACTGTCCACATGCACATCTACAGCCTGTACAGAATTGATCAAACTTTTTTTTTTTTTCCCCCCTTAATCTAAGAACCACCTGTGCCCAGGAAAGTGGTGAAGTCACCATCTCTGGAAAAGTCCAAAAAATGTTTAGACGTGGTCCTGAGGGACACGGTTTAGTGGCAAATATTGGTGGTAGGTAGATGGCTGGACTGGATGACCTTGGAGGTCTTTTCCAATCTTGATGGTTTTATGATTCTGTGCTGGTATACATGCTATTTCTTTCATGAAAAAACTTCTTCATAAACATTTCTCTTATTAAAATCATTAATGAATAGGAACTTATAAACTTTCAAACATTATTTTCAACAAACTCCTAACTTTTAGGTAGTGATTTCCTTAACAAGTGGTTTTAAAGTACATGAACTCTGCAATGTAACAGCCTCTTTTTGTATCCTAAATGTATCAGACACCATAACAGTTGCTTTAGTTTAAATTTAAAAAAGAAAATAAATTCTAAAAAAAATCTCAGAAAGTCTCAAGACTTCTGAGAAAGCTCCACTTTCTTTTAACTAAGAGATCTGTGAGTGATAACCTCACGTCACCTTCTAAACCTACACAATATCTTTGCCACTAAGAAGCCATGAGACTCCCATATTGCCAAAACCCAAGAATTCAATTTTATCACATCTCCCAGAGAAGTCTGCACCATCCAACAAAACTTACAGGCTGCCTCGTAACAACAGATTGATTTTGAAACATCAACTGTCTTGCTAAATGGGTAACAAAATGTCACCATGCAAATGCTATGCAGCTAGGGAACCTGAGTGAGGAGAGCAGTGTTTGCATGCCAGCATATTGCTGTACCTAGACAGATGACATTTGAGCGCTGATCAATTTTCCTCTGAAAAAATTGTGTTTAACCTTTCACAACATGTTGCAAATCTCAAATGCTGTAAAAAAAAAAA